GGCCGCAATAGGTAAGTGTAAAGCAAAGCCATTCATGCAGTCAATGACCTGAGTACTTCAAGTCCGGTACAAAAACGCATGATCGCACAGGCCCGCCCGTTGCGTTTCAGCCTGGGTTGCATATATGCAATGCAGAAAAAGCATATTGACGAAGGGCTGTCTGTATGTGTGTTTGTGTGTCTGTATGTGCTTCTGTACCGATTTTTTACCTCGAGACCTACAAAAGCTACAGGACTGGAAATTTGGGAAGTTAATCTATGTGCATGTGCGGGCCCCTATTCCCAAAATGGAAACTTTTCCTACATAAGAGCCTGTGAAAATTTTTGGCGGGTAAGTTTCTGCTAACTTTTGCTAACTCGTTTTTTAACTCGGGAACTAGAAAAGCTAGGATGCTGAAATTTTATGGGGGTATTTCCTGGCAGCCATGGTAGGCAGTCTTAATTCTTTTAGTAAGAACCATCTACTGGAAGAAACAGTGCCGTTAGCAGCAAAAGTCTGCGAGGAACTGTTCAAAAAACGCATCCTCACACCGGCAATAGGTGCGCCGGCCAATTATTTTAATTTACACAATTGGTATATGATTCTTGCGATGAAAGGCTGCTTTGGCGTAAAGTAGAATCACTTTTATAGTACCACGTTTCAAACCTAGCGGGGGTCTTTTCTTATATCGTGTAAAGCTTTTAGAACAAGCCCGAGCCACTGATGTTTGCTTCACTACAGACTTTATCCGTTACGGTACTTTTGGCAGTACATTGATGTTTGTTTTCAGAAAATGTCGGACTCGATCGAATACTTGAAGAAAATATTTGGAATCACGACGGAATGTCTGAATGGCGGTGTGCAAATATTGAAAGGTAAGTTGTTGTTTGTTTGTGTCAGAATAATGAGAAAGTAAAAACTTATGGGCAGCACGTGCTGCTCACCTTGCTAATAACCAGCGGAAGTCGCGTTTTAAGGAGTGGTACCCAAGACGAAACAAGTAGCCAATTGAGTAACTCTAGGGAGGCGACGCACATACAGTGAAAAGGAACTGACTACTTGCCAGTGGTGTGCAACGTGGGGTCGGAGATTCG